TAAGGGGTGCAAATGATGTTGACTTAGGGCTTATTGCCTTGGTTGACACCTTTATTGTCAATACAGAGAACTTTAGGAGGCTCTGCCTTCCTTGCCCTCCAATTACTGAGGCAGAAAGGGATAAGTAGAGACAGACATTCCAGGCAATAAGAGGCAGATTCCACAGCCTTAAGGATTTCACTGTTTTTACAAATGTACTTGAAACCAACATGCTGGGATGAGGAAATATTTTCCAGGTGGTGACTCAATCTGTAATTTCACAAAAGGAAAATCCACTCTTACTTTCCAACTCAAACTATTATGTTTTCCCCTCCAAGAGGGCAAGTGCTTGCTGACTTGGGAAATACTAGTTCAAAGTCAAGTGCTACGAAACAAGTTTCTGATGGCTATTTGCTTGGATATGTTTAGCATAGAGACTTCCTGCGCCTGGGGCTAGCTAGAAGGAGAATCTGGAGTCTTAATGTAGAGCTGTTGATGTCATTCCCCAAGTTCTACATGTGACTTTTGAGTTATGAGCACTTAAAACAGAGCAGGCTAATTGGTTTGGGTTTTGGTACAATATATCCTTATTCCCTGGGAGAGGATTTTTGTGGGAGTTGTTCATGTTAAATACAACTTGGAAATAAAGAAATCCCCTGCTACTCAATCCTGGTGGCTCCATCAGAAATAAATTATGGCAAAGAACACAGACAATGTGCTGTAAAATCCTCTGGTTGAACTCAGTTGCTCATTCTTAATCTCCAGTCTTTCTGTCTGTCTGTCTCTCCATAATAAAAAATGATGAATGGAGGAGATTTAGCTTGAATGAATTATATGCAAAGTTGTTCTACATAAAATGATTTCCCCCATGATACTATATTTCCATCTCTGCTTTATCATTGCCTTTTTGGTTGAATTAATGCAATAATATCCCAAAAGTCATCCTCCATTACACGACCATTTGCCTTCACATTCAAGGCAACAATGTCATTTTCAGATGAAGCTATTTGTCCTTGTTAGGAACAGACAAGGCAGTTGGTACATTCAAGCTCAATTACTAAGTTGCATGATTGATTCCAAGATAGAACTGGGAGCTGAGACAAATGAAAGCTGCCATTAACTGTTCAGTGTGTTCTCTTTTCTACTAGATCATATGTGAGAATGACTCATGTAACCAGACCTCAGAGAGAAGCAAAAAGTACTTAACTGAGATCAGTTCCCCAGAAAGTAGACTGCGAGAGACACTGTTCCCTTAGGATTAATACCTGAAGAAGAGGAGAAGAAAGCAATTGTGGACAGAGAGAAGGATGAGTTATGAAGCAGGTCCTATATTGTTCCATGGAAAGCTCTGGAACTGATAGGGCTCTTCACTTTACACTGACTAGTTATTGAAGTCTAGGGCAGTGGATTATAGTCAAGGTTTTTTACCCCCCTTTGGGGATCTTTGACAATGGTTAGAGATACTTTTGATTGTTATAAATGAGGTGTGCTGCTAACATCAAAAGAATGTTGGCAACAGGAATATGGCTAAAGATCTCATAATACACAAGGTGGTCACAGGTAGAAAATATCTATAGCATCAAGGTTGGAAAGCCCTGCCCACAACATACAAATCCCTCCTTGATATAAAACTTGGTGGTATTGCTACTTAACCATACCCAGTACTGTCTCCCATATTTCTCTTAATCTCTTTTTAGTTCTTTTGAGGAGTGTCTCATAGTTTCCATTTCTAATGAGGAAACTGATGCTCAGAAAGTGCAGTTAAATAAATCACTCAACGTCACGGATTGGAATGATGCCCAAGTGGAATTTAAAGTGGACTTGCCTGTCAAAAACCTTGTGGTATCTTCTGGTTTTTGCTTAATGGTTCTGTGAAGCAACCCTTAAACCTTTCTTTTTCTTTGTTGCAAGCATAAGATGAATGATGTTTATATGTTCAGTTCACTCCCATGGAATTCCTGTGAGTGAATTCCTATAAACTTACCTCTCTCTACCTCATTTAAAAAGTACAATGAACATGTGAGCTGGCATAAATTATAAGGGATGACTTGGAATCCTCTCTAATTTGTATTTTTAAGTAGACAATTCTTGAACTTTGAGCCCTTCCTATTAGTAACAAATTGCTTACAATAAACTTGTAGTTGATTTTCACACTGACTGTAAAATTTGTTGGTAGTCTTAGTGACTGCAGAGACTGTAGTATTTTCAAGAGAAGTTGCTTCACCCTGCTTTTTTAAGCTTCTGTGAACTGGATGGTTGAAATCACTCAAGAATATTCCTAAATTCTTACAGGCACCTCAAAAACCCCCAAAAATCAAAAAATAATTCACTCCTACTCAGTTTTAGAAACTGTTTATTTTCTTGTTGTAAATAATAATATCTACTAATCAAAGAACAAAAAATTAAGGGCCACTTTGCAGATATATATTTGAATTTAAAGTCAAACATTCTAGAACAAAGTTTAATAATTGGTGACTATTTAAATAAAATAACCCTATTAAAAAATAAACATGTATCTATAAAAATGTTAAGGAAAATAAAATTTAATATATATTTTAATCCAAAGATAAGAATAAAATAAAGCCATTTCATTATTACCAGCACAACAGCAATATTGCTTTTGATAATCAAAAACAGTTGTGGTTTTAAAATTTCCCATAGCAGTTCAGTTACTTTAAAAAATGCGGTTATTAATTCCTAGAACATACATGTATGTGGTGAATAATATGAACTTTATATGGAGGTATGAAAATTATCTAATGATGTAAAGTAGAGGCAGATTAAAAAAAAAGTGACAGAAAATACAAAGAACAGAAAGAGGAAAACAAGTTTTGTAAATTCACACAGATATATTGTCAGAGATCATTGCCACACTCAAATCACTTTCTACTGTCAGAAAATCTAATTTAGAGTTAACGACATGTATATATTTGTTCATTCTTTCAATCAAATTTAACATTCTAAGTAAAATTAGTGTCTAAGTCAATTCAAACAGTGCTGATAAATTACCATGTCTGCATTAAATAGCAAACATGTCTTTCTCACAGTTCTGGAGGCTGGAACATCTGAGATGAGGGGCTGCTATTTAATGAGGACCCACTTCCTGCATTATAGACAGCCATCTCCTCCTTGTCCCTTCACAAAGCAAGAGAACAGAGCTGGCCAATACTCTTCATATAGAAACACTAACTGTATCATGGGATCACCTCCTTCATGACCTAATAAATTTTAAATAGCTCCTCCACCCCTGAATATCATCACATGATGGCTTCAATGTATGGATTTGGAATGGTCAGTATGTAAAATGTGGTGTAAGCAATGTTATGTAGGTAAATGTTTAAAAATTGACTCAATATTGCAGTAGGTATATGTATAAGTTTGTTATACCTTTTATTGACACAAATGTACATCTTAAAAATAAGAATAATGGGCCCTCCCTGGTGGCACTGTGGGTTAAAGCACAGCACTAAGAAGCTAAAGCCACATCAGCATGAGTTTGAGCCCCGCCCCGGAGGTGACCCACATGGCGTGGCAGACCTCTCCTGACCCATCCGCTGCTCCCCTCAGCAGTGTACTTCAAGTCAGTGAGCCTGTTCTGCCCCCACTCTGTCTCTGGTGAATAATCTCACTGGCCCTGCACCTCTGGCCTGTACCCCAGTTATATATGCATAAATAAATCTTAAAAAATAAGTAAATTTTGGCCCTCCCTGGTGGCGCAGCGGGTTAAAGCACAGCACTGAGAATCTGAAGCCACTTCCTCATGAGTTCGATTCCCGCCTGCAGCCTGCCCCAGAGGAGACCACATGGCGAGCCAGACCTCTCCTGGCCCACCCGCTGCTCCCCTCAGCAGTGTACTTTGTAGATCTGCCTATTCTGCTCCCCACTCTGTCTCTGGTGAAGCCTCTCACTGCCCCTGAGCCTCTGGCCTGTACCCCAGTTCTGTATGCACAAATAAATAAATAAATCTTTAAAAAAAAAAGTAAATTTTAAATACTGCATAGTCAATTATTACAGAAAACTTCTAAATTTTATCAAAATTTGGTACCCATAGCCAGTCTCTGACATCAGTTGACCGACCCCAAGTACAATCCAATCTGAGTATTGATTGGGGATTTCAGGTTTCAGGTACCAATATGACATCACTTAACATGAAGCTGGGAAGACATGTTCAGTAGCACATCATTATTTCTATCTCAAAAATAGACATAACAATAAAGGGAACAAAATAGGAATGATGAGATAATTTCTGAATGTTTGCTTTAGATATAATTTATTTCATGGCAACCCCAATATGAATTGGGTTGCCTGAATGTGGGTCCTCACCTGCGCATTTAAGGGGACTTACAATAAGATTCAACTACAGGCACACACAGAAATGTTAATAATGGGTTTATTTACAAGAGAAAGGGGAATGAATAACTCAAGGGAAAAGGAGAGAGAGAAAAGTTGGCTAATGTGTCCAACCAGTTCTGCTGACCTGGAACCCCAAGAACATACTGAAAATAGGCAAAAATTCAAGAGACAAGTCATGAACCAAGAGGCCAAAAGATCTCTAAGATTCAGTGGTCCAGTTTTATATCCAAACATTGTTGTTTAACTCCACCCTCAGGTCCCAGCAATCCTCCCTTTGGTGATGTTGGAATTTATAGTTTTGCTGTCTGTCTTGGGTGGGGTGGTGTCCACAAAACCTATGTTTGTGGACTTCATTCAGGGCATTCTTTCCCCATAACAATATAGTTTATTATTATTTTATGACTTAAATTATTAATAGTAACTATATTTATCATTTGGGTCACAGCATTTCTGAAAATTTAGCATTTAGCTCTCCTGAACTGGTATACTTGCTGAGTAGACACAGTTTCAAGTTATTCAAATATGGTGATTTCCAAATTCTCTTACTCGGGGTTAAGTATGTGAGCAGAGGACTTCCATTATCATACAAAGTAGATGTTAAAATATAAAATATTGGTATTAAGTTTGTTCCTTTAAAGTTTATTGTTAATTTTGTGTTTTATTCGCAGGCATTTCCTTGCATCTCAACTGGCATTTATGGTAAGTGATCTTGTTTTGATAATGTCTGCATTACTTTATTTTTGTGGTTAAAGATGAAATTAACAGGAAAATGAAAGGCTCTGTGATGGATCTAGTTTTCTGTGGATTAAAGAGTCTCAAAATATGGTAAAATCTCAATTTTAAATGGGTATTTGAATATTCTTTTATGTTCTTGAATTTTATTATACTGGATAACACATGTATTGGTTTGACACACTATGACTTAATGTTTTTTGTTAAACAAAAAGTTTTGTTCTATAGGATTTGACCTCTAATTGTGTTTTCTTGAATCAAATCAGGGTTTTCTTTTAGATGCATAGTCATTCATATGAAGCCAAGCATAATTGTTTCTGTTGCAAACAGAATCATTGAAATGTGAATACATGCATAGGTCTGTATACTTAAGTTATGAAAAAATAAATTCAAAAAATTCTTGTGAAACCTCCTTTCATATGTCAATCTTTGATGGTCACTATATCTTCTGAAAATTTTCCAAGTTTTGTAATTTGGACAATTAACAGCTTTTTCCTCACATAATTTCAGCGATTTTTGTTTATAGTCTGTTTCCAAAGTCATTTTGGATTTCTTAGTGGAATTTATTAGTGTGCATTCTGTGCACAGTGCCTAGTATTGCATCTGTAGACACTAGTACATATTTGCTATTTATTGATAATGACTATTAAGATGACCTAAATTGTTGCCCAGAAAATAAAGTACAGAAAATAAAATTGTGAATGGAAAAATAGCAGTTAGATTAAACTATTCAGCTATCCAGTTTTTTTTTTTCTTTCCTGATAGCAAACATCACTATTTTAGGAAAAACAAATGGTATTTGTAGGTATGACAGTGTCCACTTTGACAAGACAACATTTTTTTTTTAAAGTTTTATTTATGCATACAGAACTGGGGCACAGGCCAGAGGTGCAGGGGTGGTGAGAGGACTCACTAGAGACAGTGGGGAGCAGAACAGACAGATCGACAAAGTACACAGCAGGTGAGATAGGAGAGGTCTGCTGCACCATGTGGGTCACCTCCGGGCCAGGGGATCAAACTCTCACTGAAGTGGCTCTGGCTAGTTTGCAGTGCTGCCCCTTAACCCACTGAGCGACCAGGGAGGGCCCAGAAATGACAAAATTTAAAGTCCAGAACATGCTTAGAGAGTCAAGTTGAATTTAATATCTAACTTCATTTAAGAAAAAGCCCCTTTGTTGTTATGTCTCACAAGGTGGTCAATAAGCCAAGCACATGGTCTCAGTGTGCCTTTGTCCCAAACCATGTGCCCAGCTGCTGGAAACAGTTCCAATGTTTTGCTTTGAATTTGCCTTCACTTTAAATTTATGTCCTACAAGAATTCTTTAACTCCCAACTGATGGTGGAACTATCTTGTGAAGGAGAATGATTATTTAATATCCCCAGGATATGCATTCCCATTTTGTGGAAAATCTGGCATCACTATTATCACATTCAAAGTATGTCTGGAAGATTTGGTACTTACCAGGGGAACCTGGGAGCCAGAGCAAGAGCCAAGTTTTCTCCCGGCTTCTTCCTATTCCTCAGCCATTTGGGGACAAGCCCTAATGGCAGCAAGACCAGCTGTTTGTTATTGGAAGATGCTGACTGAAGAAAACCCACTTTTTAACTCAGCCCAATTAAAGAAAAGACATGATGGAAGTAGGCCCTGCTGCCTTTGAAGATCTCCTGGAAGAAGAACCAGACATTTTCACTGAGTCCCAGCAACTGCTGTTGCTGCTCTGACATAATGTTTCCAGGATGGTTCCATGGAGCAATGGACCGCCTGCTTACACTCAAGATGAAAATCCACATTTGGTAAAATACCAAGAAAAGAAAAGGCCTGTATTACTTTTGGAAAAATAGATCCAGATGAGGCTTACAGGGTTTCTATAAACTCCAAAATTCCTGTTAAAGATTTGAATTGGCCACTAAGCCAGTCTCAGAGGGACAGATTTGAACTTCCTTGATGGACATTTCAGATCCCGTGTATGCCTTCTGTCCTTTGAGTCCAAGTTGGACACTGTTGCTAATAAGTTTTACAAAAGGGGCTAGACATGATACATGGCAATGGAATTTTTACTGAGATGCAAGCAGCAAAAATAATTGTAGTCCATTTTATGAGAATCAATGTAGTTAAGAGAAATGAAGTCCAGGTGGAAAAGTGTATCCTTTTGTGTAATTTGGAAAATGTTCTCTTTGGAGAAGAAGAAAACTTGAATGTTGTTCTCGAAGTTTGAGGTGATGCTTTCATGGAAGAAGGATCTTTAGATGTTGAGTTATTGACTGAAAATTTGCAGAAAGAAGTTAGGTGTAGTGTAACTAAGCTAAAGTTGCTCTCATATTCTTTATATTTCTGTTACCAGTGTGGAAGGTGGTTTTGATAAATCCCTTTGCTTTCTGTAAAATGCTTCCAGGACACAACTTCCTTGTTGAATCTCTTATTTATACTCAGGTTCGTGCTTCTGCTTCTGACTGGTAAAAAAGGAGAACAATGTGATATTTCTTTAACCTTATATGTCTACACAGCAAATATTTTTATTGCCACATCTGTCTAAACTCACAGGCCTGACTTGGATGAAATGCTGCTGAGTGCATGACCTCCATCATTCTTAAACGCGGACACATTTTAGAGGGTGTCACAACCACTGCCATGCAATTCTAGACTTGCTGGAAGAGTTATCTTATGTATGAGGAACATTTGGAAACCAGAGCAAAACTGACAAAATGTGTGCCACTCCCTTTTATCCCCCTGCCAACTCTTACTCTTCATCTGGCTTTTCTTCCCGTTCCTTTGATATTCACGTTTGCTTTGAAAATTTTGCTTCAGGTGCTCTAATTATGAATCTTGTTTTTTTCCCCATAAATTCTCTTCTCTGACATCCTGTGTTTTTTGTCCTGGTCAAGATATTCTCATTATCAGCAGTGGTACTGTTTTTGGCAATCCTTGGGTGAACTGCTGATTTTCAAAGCAACATAACATTCAAATCAGCATAATTCACCCCTTTTGGAAAAATGCAGTGATAGGACCATGCCCATCTCATTTGTATCACATTTGAATAATTTGCTTGTTGATCCTTACAAAATTGGAGAAACACCTTTGCAGATAACAAAAATTCTAGCATAAGATTTTGTCTGACTCTTGGAGTACTTACCATTCAGATATACAAGTACACACATATATATCCATATGTGTGCCTTCATCCCATGAACTATAGTACAAACTGCCTTACCATTCTTTCTAAGCTAGAGGGTTCTTTAATTGCAAAACAAAACAAAACAAAAACAAACAAACAAACGAGCAAACTACAAGACCAGAAGTACTACTTTTGCTCTGGAGAGTAGTCTCAAGTGTTCAGTCACAATGCATGCCACTTTAGCTTAAATAAAAATGACAGTGGGACTCATGAGCAGTGTTTCTTCAGGCATTTGCCAAAATAAATGAAATTGCTGGGAACTTAGATTTCTGCAGATGCAGGAAGAAATCCATGTCATCCTCCCTGATGTTCTGTTCAAGCTGAACAATTTTAGGACTTAATTAAAATATTAAGCGTTTCAAAAAGTAATAAACATTATAAACTTTATTACTCTTCTGAGGTCTTTTTTTTTGCTATTGTATCAGGGTAAATTTTGATTTAGGACTAGAAGGAACAAATTAATTCCCACCCAGCCTATCCTCAAAGACTGGCACTTATTCTTAAACTATATTTAACAAATGATTTTTCCTCTAAAAGTATTAAGAGCAAGTCTTTTAAAGAAATAGGAAACATATTTCATTAAATTGTAGAGCCTATCTATTTAGTTGTAGCTAAATATCATTGGAAATACCACTCAGCTATGTCAAAAAATAGGAGCACTATTAAGTCTATCTCCCTAGAAAACAGTTGTGGTACACCTATGTACTGACCACAATCTCAGATTAGTTAATAATTTTGATGTTATTGCCCATTTTTCTCACCCTATTTTGAATTTCTCATCCTGTCTTTTACTTGCTTCTTATACATACTTGTATCTGAAGTTTGGGTTTACATAAGCATAGATCAGCTTTCTTTAGAAAGGTCTTCAAAATTAGTTCTGACAGTTCTCAGAGAATGCAAGCATGTTTAGCTCTTTGAGCAATGATTTTCATGTCAAATCAGTTTTAGTCAATGATTCTATTTTTAACATGCATCTTTAACTGTACTTGAAGAGATTATATTAGAGTAAAGCTAAGCTGCTGTAACAAAGGCGTTTGAAAATAGAATGGTTGAGTGTACATAGAAATATGTTTTCCTCTTTGCTAACAGTTGCAAAGTGAGTATTCTCTTTATAAGAAGACTCATTATACTTTATCACTCAAGGAGTCAGGAATATATCAGAGTGTCAAGTGGCTGTTCTGCCTCCCTGAAAACATTGTTCTCATATACTTAGCTTCTCTGGTTCCAACAAAAGAACTACATGGATTAGGCATATCCATTAGCAGATGTACCTGGGTTTAAGAGGACTCATTATACTTTCACTTACCTTCTATTGGAGAGAAATTTGTTGTATGACCAACTTAACTGCAAAGGAAGTTAGGATATTTAGTCTCTTTGGAAACCCATGTGTCTGATTGGAAAGGGGCATTCCTGGATTTCTAGATATCATTGTTAAAGGTAAAAGTAAAGAATATGGGTAATTAATTTAGGCTAGTATCACTAAATATCAGTTTGATAGTTTTGAATAATTACATTCTTATTTTTCAAGAATATTTTGTGACTTTACTAATATTATCTACTTTGTTAAAAATAACTTTATGATTATTAATCCTAGCCAAATTATATATGTATAAAATTATTAAGTCATTAGGTTAGCAACAGCTCATTAGTTGTTAGCCATTTAGACATTTTAGGTGACATGTCAATTTTGTTTACTTTTTAAACATTTTGTTACTATAGATAATTTTTGCAAAATTTTCAGATGCACCAGTGGAAAAGAAAATCGATATATTGTGAATGAATTAACAATTGTTA